TGTGAGTGATTCTTATTAGTAACTGTATTGTTAATATATCATTACAGAAATTGTAGTGCTTTCATCAACAAACGTCCATTAATATTATTAATTAATGTCTATAATAATCATATAGAGAGTATTCAGTTGGCCTTAATAGCAATTGGCTAAAGATATTACTGGGTCCAAATTTCTTAAATTTTATTTCAGTGTTAAAAGAGAGCTTAGTTCTAAATAAAAGAAATAACATTTAAAATGTTTTTAGTATTGTTTCTATTTATCAATCATAATATTTATATCTTTATCATTGACTCAAGATTTGCCTATTTAAAAGTTTCTGAAGTCCCTCATCAGTTTTGAATATTTTTTAAATTTATTTTGAAGGGTATTTGCAGCTGCATTAAAGCAATGCATTTATTTTTTTTTTTTTTGGTTTTTTCTATAGTTTTTATATTTTTTCTTCTTCTTTTTAGTTTCCTTGTAGTCGTTCGCTTCAAAGTTTTTAACTGGCGCTGACTTTAAGTGCAATTCAGTGCCGAGGCAAAAGCGAAAAAATGCTAAAAACTTTTCCCCTACTTGCAACTGACTTTGTTCATTGCTGTTGTTGAATTTTTTTTGTGGCTGCCACATTTCGTTTTTGTATTTTGCAGTTTAAAAACGCATTGCCAAATGTGTCACACAAAAGTTGTTGCTGTTGTTGCAACTGACACAAAAGCTGCAGCAGCCGAGGGCTGAGGGGTCGGGCTAACTGCTCGGTGTGCGGTTGCTTTGTCTTATGCATTGCACATTTTGCACTTGACAGAAAACAAAAGGCACATGCAACTTGGACGCCCTGCCTAGGCCCCGTCGAACGGTACTTAGCGAGAGAGCACTGTAGTCACGCCAGCCAACGTGTGGGCAAAGGTGGACAAAGGTAGGCCACAAAGAGAATGCTAAATGTAACTGGGTTGAGCGTTTTAATGGTGACATTCAGGCTATTCAAAAATGTTTGCTCTTCATGACTAAAAGTGTGAATTGCACTCAAAAATAGGGTAAATAAAAGAAATATATATCCAGTTTATATACGCTCAGTATTTTTAAACAATTTCTTTGCTTAATATTTCTTACAAAAGAATATAAATATTAAAAATTTGAGCAAAATTAAAAAAAATATATAAATAATTTGTAAGATGCATATGAATGTAAATAATAAATAAAAAATAAAAATATATACATAAATATTTATTGAATCATTTATTTATTAAGAACTCGCTTAGACTTGGACTCATAATATTTTTGGATATTTTATTTATGCTCTATTAAATATTTTATATTTCTTGACAACTTTTAGCCCTTCTAAACATTTATTTAAATCTCTAGATTATATATAATTTTCTCTTCTGTTTTTTTGCGCCAGAAAGTATGCTTTAAAAGTTCTTCTTAATTGGTTTGTAAATCAATAATTAACTTCTATTCGAGAAAATCGCTAGCCAACCGTGTGTAAATCACTTTTTAATTACTCCAATGCTATATACTATATATATATCTCCTCTTAAGACGATTAGCCTACCCTTTATGGGCGGCAAAACGGCTTTCAGACTCTTGGCTGACGTTAACAAGCTGCGTTCTGAGCAACTACTTGGACATTGATAGCCTTAACATGGCCTTATTAAAATCGCCTGCCATGACGGATTTATTTTTAATGAGTCTGGACTAAGCAAAAGTTAATGAGGCCCGAGCCAAACAAACCGCCCAGCCATGAATGCGATGATGTACAAATCTTTCACGTGCGTGGCAAATAAATCATCATTGCTCGCAAAACCAACAAATACAATTGCAATATTCGTTGGGGGTTCCAAATCCTGACAAATGAGCGAAAATATCATAGAAGCCCAGTACAAGAACATAAGATATTAACGTGTCTTAACCACCCTCTATTCGTTTCCCCATTCTAGACAAATGCATTAAGTCCCTGAATGTAACTATATAAACTACAATACAATCCCGTTTGATGCTGCTGCTACTGTTGCTGCTGCATTGGCGTCAAATTTGCTGCTTCATTTATAAGGATTACAGCCCTTACAGTAAAAACTCATAACGAAATTACTTGCAGGAAATGCAACAAGCACAATGGCCCAACCATGAGTCGCAGCTCTGCTATGTGCTATGTGTAGCCACCCCTAAGCGTCTTCTATTTAGCAGGGGTAGCATTTCTGGCTGACTTCTTGGCGCTAACCATTGACGTGCCTTTGTTAAGCGGAGAACACGAATTATGCATTAGTTTCAACTTGTAGCGCATGATTAGATGTTTTCTTTTTATATACACATCTATTTCCCACTTGAGGGCTGCTGTGTGACCCAAATGTATTCGCGTGAGTTGCACTCTGGGGTAAAGAAAGTGCGTATGTAGCAAAATAATATTAAGCTCTGATGGTGGGCATAAATTAATTGATTTTCCTAGAGGCTAAGTAGGTAATGCATCTTAAATATTCTATTAAAATCAAATTCAAGTCGAATGAAAATGAAAAAGTTTAACAAATTCACTTTTAATCGAAATCGATATCATTGTTGTAACAGTAATTATTATTGTTATTAATATTATTAATACATAATATTAATATAGTTATTATCATTATCATTACCTTTGTCTAGGGTGAAGTTGAAGTAGAGTCTATAATGGAGCAAATGTGAGAAGTTAAAGATGCTTGGAAAAGTTTTTAGCGCTTCACTCGCAGCTCGACGCTGAAGCACTGATGACAATCCTCAGTTGGAGCATATAGAAGCGTTACACCTTGAAGCTTAAAGAGGATTGCAAGGCTGGAGGCAGCCTAAGCTAGAGCAGGTATTCGGTAAGCAGCAAAGGCTATGCGACACTTTTGTCGGAGTGGCTGAAGATGCATACAAAATTCAAAGTATTTTTATTATTATTTTTTTTTATTACAACTTTAATTTTCATTGCAATTTTAATTATCATATATATAAGTTTGTTATAATTTTATAATATTTATTTAGATGTAGTCTGAAAATAATGGATTTAATAAGTAAGGAAAGAAAGAGCAGTACGATTATATTATCTATTTAACTAACTATACATACTTTATAAATATTTCATTAATTTCAATCATAATAGACTTTAATTAGCCACTCCCAGACCCAATTGATCTGCGAGCTCATATTTCTAGCCATAACTTTGGCCACTCTCAAATAATTCGTGCACTTGCAGCTCGGCAGCTCGGCAGCTTTTTCCATATTTTTAGACACTACAAAGACAACCCCAAAAATACAAAAGAAAAAAATAAGAAACAAGAAACAAACAACAAGAAACGCCCCTTTCCAGTTAGCTGACTTTTTAATAAATATAAAGCGTTAATTTGCTGCATAATTGCGCCGTGCCACGCCCACTTGCTGCGTGTAGACCCTTCGTGTCTGGCAGCTCGTTTGCTCCTAGTTAAGTAGCACAGCCTCCCACTCCTTGGCTTGTCTCAAAGACAAGCAGCCGTCAATGGCAGCGCCACGCCCCTTTACGTTGGGTTCCACCCCGCCCGTCCCTTTTTTATGTCTTCAATGACAGTTATTTCATTTTTCTTGTTGATGTTTTTCCCTGCACTCATTAAACCAAGTTAAAAAGGCATATAGCACCCAGTTGTTGCCGTTGTTGCCGTCATTGTTGTTGTTGTTGTTGGCCTGTTTCCGTTGTTAGCCAAGCTGTTGAAGTTGTCCTGGATATGCTCCTGGTTTCAGCTCGTCTCTTCCTTGTTGCCTTCGCCATGTACTTGCGGCCATGTCGAAGACAACGCACAAAATTTTCAAATAACATTTTCCACAGCCCCACAAAAAAGTCGAGAAACAGAAACTGGAGTAGTAGAAAAAGACAAGGACATAATGTCGCACTCTGGCTAGGACTGTACACGACTTGGCTTTAATTATTGTTGATAACACGGCGCACAGGGCGTTGGGCTTTAATGTTCTAGCCGCAAAACGTCATGGCTGAGAGCTTGGCACGCGGCTCTGACACAAATTTCAATTGCGCATCTGTCTAATTGGCGGCGTCAGGAGTCTGTTACTCAGCGGGCTCTACATGCATTGGCTTTTCATCAATTTTAAGCATAGTTATTAGGCATATGGCGAAATAGAGAGACAAGTCAATAAAAAATTAGTCATAGACTAAGCTTATTTCGACGTATTGCTAAAATTAAGTAGACATATGGTTAGAGTTGCTAAGTGAAGTATTGTTAATGTGTTTATATACATGGAAAATTGAGTTTAAAATAATTGCAGATTTTTTTTTAACATATTTTGATTAGAATAATAAATTTTGATTGGCTATATTTATTAAAAAATTAACTAATCATGCTGTTAGTTTTTTTTTAAATAATAATAACATTTCTCATGAAAGAAATAATAAAAAAAAAATATAATAATAATAATAATAATAATATAATAATATATAATTACAATGTATATATAATAATAATAATAATAATATTAATAAAAATGTGATATTAAATGAAATGTGCTTGGCTTATAAACAAAAGAAAATGCAACTTGATGTTGGTCTTCTAGGGATTATTCTTTGTTAATTTTAATTCAAGTTGACACAAAGGATCGTCGGCCTCATTGGATACAATAGTGAACTAATGTGTGAAGTGATCTCAGAAGTAACTCTGATGTCTTCAACCTATTTCGGACTAGTTAATAAATATTTATATAATGTAATGAATATGGTTTTTTATATTTAAAAAATGTGTATTTTTATATGGGTAAATAAATAAGTTTGCTCTAAGTACTTTGTTATTAATGCAGTCTCAAAATATGTGATTACCATTCATCAATAATAGTATCAATTAAAAATACTCTTTATAACAATATATTCCTGCAGCAACTTAGTTACATGGCAGCTAGTTAGTAATATATTTTAGCCAAGATTTGCATTATTATCTCCATTATTTAACCGCTCACTTTAAGCACCAGCTCTTCAAAAGTAAAACCAATCACTTAACTTTTCAACTATAATTTATTCACATTAAATATTCTTAGACACTTTTCAAAAGGAATGACATGTTATGATATTACACAGCCGCCCTCTTCCGCTATACAGCAGGCGGTAAGCAGCAGGCAGCATTCCATTTGCTCTCTTGTTGGACCATTGTTCTCCTCCACATAGATCGTTTGGGGCTGTGTGACGACTACGGCTGGTTGTGTGTAGGCTGGTTGCTGGATGACTTCGACAACCTCCACTGGCGGTGGATAGTAGGGATCGATGACATCCACTTGATAGCCCGGGTTGTACATGATCTTGTCGTTTAACTACGCGCGTGTCTAACTAATTGAATTGACTAAATGTTATGTTGTACGTCGCAATAACTTGTTTTAAACTAAAATTGTGGTTCGCTGAAAGTTGATTTTTGGTAACTTTTTCGCTACTGAATACATTCTTTTTTTATCATAAGCCCCTGGCATTTGATCAATGAGCTCTGATAATAAAAGAGTTTTGTGTAAGTGTCAAAGGCACAGTGAAGCAATGTGATTGAAAATAAAAGAAAATTTCAAATTGTGATTTACATAATTTAAATTACAATTATTCGTCACATGTTTCGGTTTAATTCAGGGTGAAATTTATTCTGTGTATTTTGGCAAGTCTTTTAGGTAGCTAATGAATGTGCAATTGAAGCTATTTATAATTATATACAAATTAAAAAAATAATTATTATTTATTTATTTGGTTAAAAAAGTTTTTTAAAAATATAATTAATATTCTTATTAATATTAATTTTAATATTCTTATATATATTTATATAATATATGTATTTATATAATATTATATATTAAAGCTTATTTAATTATATTATATATGCCCAAAACATGCCTTCAATATTTTTAGAGATGAGTGCAATTGATAAATTATTACTAAATATATAAGAACAAATAAATAAAAGAATTGTTGATAACAAAAATAAATTCTAGGTATAAATATTTATCAAGCTGAGGTATAGTTTCTGTTTTAACAATAGCAAAATAAATAAATAAAAAATAAATTTAAATATATATCATCATTTAATAAGAATAATTGTTTGCAGCTCTATTATTTATATGAAAGAAAAACAAGTGCCATAGTGCGTATGAGTAATATCATTTCTAACCAGGCTGAAATTAGAATTATTTCTTATATACATATATATTTGATGAACTTATGATTTAACACAATTATCGCTGTCTTCGCCACAGTTCAGCGCTTCGCGTGCAACAGTGCGTATGAGTAATATGGTTTGGGCTATAGATAAACGGCAAGTAAAAAAAGTACACACAAATTACGCTGAATGGGTGACCCAGCAACCCACAACACTGCCCTGCCACCCACTCAGTCAAACCCTTGTCAAAACTGTTCGAAGAAAAAAAAAACAGTAGAAGAAACTTTTGGCTTTGCGGTTGCAATACGCAAAGATCTCTCATAAAATGTTTTATCAAATGGCAGCAGGCGGCACTTTTTGACACATTTTCGCTTTTATTGGCAAATTGAAAAACATATATAAATAATAACTGGCAATGCCAACTAAGTTTTCCACTGGCAAGTTTTCATATATACTTGTGTGTGTGTGTGTATGTGTGCTATGTCAAAGGGTTGCCAGGCCGCTCATAAAACTACAAAATTTTTGCGGTTTCCCTGTGTGTGTGTGGGTGTGGATGTTATTAAATTTGGCTTTTTATTAGAGCAGGCCAGAAGCACATTCGAGATTTATGCAAGACAATGTGCTGCCCAAGTGCTCAACCACAGCCCCGTGTACCACACAGAAAACATTATTTATAACAAATCGTAAAATTTTATTGCACGAAAAAAGTGTGTGTATTGTGTGTGTGTGTGTGTGTGTGTACGTGTGTGTGTAAATGTGCTTCACAAGCCATAGAAACTTAATTTAACGGAAAGCATTAAAGGATTTGCAGCGCCTTTTGTTTGAAGTTCATATTGTTGCTGCCGTTGTCAAATGTTGTTGTTGTCGTTGTTGTTGTTGTTACTCTACATTATCGTGCAACAGCAACAACATTCGCCGCAGCTAAAGCAACAGGGACAGCAGGGGCAGCAGCAACAGCCATTATCTTTGGGTGGTGGAGGCTGGACAATAACCGTTGTAGGGCCCGTCGGCGGGGGCACATTTATCACCTCAATACGTGTCTGATTATCCATTATTACTATTTTGCTTCGATCAAAGTTTTCGAGCTGCGACTTCTTGCGCGTTACACGGACGGTGTTAGACTATTTTATAAGGCCAGATCGGCCTATTATGGTATTCACTCACTGACAATCTCTAAAGTACGTTCTCCGCGAATGTACGTAGTTGTGCTCTGGCGTGTGTATGTTGTGTGGGTATTGACTACAAAAATAGTCTTATCTGTAGATAAAACACTATCGCGCTCTTATTATCTTCATTGGGCTGGACAGGTGAATTGTCTTATCTGTACCAAACATTTTATTTGTTATAAAAAACACAGATTGCATGAATAGTCTATATGCACGGAAGTATCAAAAAGGAACTAGTTCCAATGAGTGATAGTTTATACAGTTTAATTGCAATATAATATAATTTAAAAAGTAAATATATAACTTATTTCAATGTTGTTCATAAACAATGTGTGGCTTAAAAATATATATTTAACAAGTTCTCCTCACCTCAATTTATTGCCATATAAACGTGTGAATAGGCTTACAGTATGAGTCAGCCTTTTATTACAAAAAAATTGTTTTTAAGTGAATTTGTTTGCTTATATTGCTATTGAGTTGTGTATTATGCCAAGAATTGTTAAACAATAATAATATAAATGTAAAAACGCAGTGAGTAAAGGTAAATTGAAATACACTACTCACGGATATACATATATAGAATGTCTTTTACAGCTGGCGTATATATGACTGACTCATCTATATCTTTGCGTTGACAAAACTTTATACCTTGAGAAACAAATTCTGAATGATTTTATGAATTTTAAGATAATATAGTTAAAAAGTAAAGTAATTGTTATTGGGAGTTTATATAATATATTTTTGATCTGAGCTTAAAATAAACGATTAATGCTCAAAGGAGAATAGTATTATTTTGATTTTAAATTTTGAAATTTTGAATATTTAATGCGCAATCAATTTTGATCGATTTTTAATATTAAAATATACGAAGAAATAATACTCAAAGAAGAATACTTTTATATCGATTATAATCGATTTTATGCGCATGGGAAAACACCTGAAACCCAAATCTCTAGTGAAGACTTTTCAATTGCTCAACGCTGCTTACCAATTAATAATAATGATTATGATTATAATGCTATCTTAAGAATTTGTCCATTAATTTTTCCTTGACTAGTAAATTGATCGACAGCGATTATAATGTATATACATATATGCTCTCAAAGAGAGATGGCTATATTTTTAGAATTTTATGACCAGGCCACAACGTCGATAGGAAGCACCTGGCTTAACTAGCTTTATCTTTGACAAAGCAATACACAAACAGTACGTTTAGCATTCAATGTCATGTGTGTGCCAAAGTGAAACATATAATGACCAATTATATGTTATCTTATCTAATCTAACTATGAAACTAACAAGAACTACGAAATTTACATGCAGCACATAGCAAAGCACCCAATTTATGCAGCTGGTGTGGAGCGACGCCGTCATAGGTATATCCCATTGCCAGATCTCAATTAAAAATTGGGGTTATTTGTGGTGGGGGGATTGTCAGGGGATGTGCATTACCTTTGTGGCCCACAATGAAATTAATAAAAATATATTTTTGAGCGCGCAATGGTGATGATAATTAGTGTACGTGATTCTATTTACTTGGAAACCAGCAGCCAAAAAGTCCCTCCGAAATACATAAAAGGGGTGCTTTGCCTGTTTGTGTGTAATATGATATGCGCGTAAAAAATATAGTACGTGTGTGCGTGACAATGGCAACAACGTGCGATGACAGGACTGAGGACTTCGAACTGGGGCTGAAGCATTTGGGACCTGGGTGTCAAAAATGAAACAACGCCTGCTCGGAATTTTAAAATAACCAAATGAGCTGGCGCCTGAAGTAAGCCAGCAACAGCGAGCGAGACAACAAGCCCCATAAATATTTATAAACTTTTGCCTGTCATATAAATACAGGGTCATTAGTTGGCCGCACACACCTTTCGCTCCGGCTTGAGCTGGAAGCCCCTTCAGGACAATAAGATCCAACTAGACGGCCATTTAAATGTTTACGGCTCTGCCAACTTGACACTAGTAGCAGCTCGATGCAGCTTATTAGTTAAACAAAGGAATTATTCAAGGACACTAATGGGAGACTCAAACAAGCAGGAGACATGTTTGTAGCTGTATGTGTGTAGGTGTCTCTATGTAACATATATATAACATATAAATGGTTTTGTTGATGTAGACTAACTACTGAATGAGTACGTGAAGATAAAACGTATATATACAATTTATATGATAAAAAATAATTACTTTTGGTATGTAGATGCTAATTTATTTTTTTTTTAAATAGAAATATAAAATATATATAAATGTTAATTCAAGAAATATATATCTAACTTAAGTAGAAGAGCTTTCGCAGCATTAAAAATAATTCTTGAATTATACAAAAAATATATAATACATATAAAAAGAAAAATAATAAATATTCAACTATAAATAAAAAAATCAAAATATATATTTTGATAAATTTTATATGCAAGCTGATTTTTTTTCTATCAATATCCATTAAAATTAAATATTTAACTAAATAAATTTAAAAATTGGAAAGCAATTCAGGCAGCTATTAAAAAAATAAATACAATAATATTTATATATTATATTCATAACAGTGCTAAAATAATAATGGAAAATATACTTTTTTTAAACTTAAAAACAAACATTTTCCTATTTATCATATTTAGTTCATATCAACTTCAACTTCAACAAATATTTTCAAGCATTTTTTATTTTTATTTATTTTACAAATAGAAATTCTTTAACAATTTTCATAAAGTGCGTCTGCCACAACTCAAAGCTACTTATTCTAAATTTCAAATGTAATACCAATAAAAAAATATTAAAAATAATATTGCTAACAATAGCTACATTGAAATGCTCAGGTTGCAAATACTGCAGGGCAGTTGGTTGACTGTAATATACTCATATTTATAATTTAGCGCCAGCTACAGACACGCCAAACTGCCTAGAAAGGAGCACATATAAAAATGATAAAGCAAAATGGCGAAAAGTGGCAGTAAAAAAATAAAATGCGCTGCCGCAAAAGTGCCATTTGTGGCATAAACACATGCGCGGCAAAGTTTGATAAGACAAAAGGCGGCGGCAGCAGCACACGAGTGGGTGGCTGTCTGGCAGGCTAACAGGTGAAGCAAGCCATGCCGGGCAGGTAGGCCAAAAAGTTTGCCAAGTGTGGTCTCACACACACACGCACACAAACACAGCAACTGCGACAACACAAGCAGCAGCAGCAGCAGCAAACGTGGCAATGTCCTAAGGATGAACTTCAGCGCCAACGTTGGCACCGCAATGTGCCACTAAATGCTGCCACTAAATGTGTGCCAAGTATTATTGCAGGTGCCTATCTATACATGTGTGTATGTCTGTGTGAGCGAGTGTGTTTCTCAAGGATCTACCTTTCAGTCGAGCTGCGCATAAAATTAGCACAATAAAAAGCCATAAATGCGACACAAAAACATGAAAATCCACTTGTTATAATTTAATCGAGTTGATAGAAATTTTACGACGACGCGTTTTTCACGTAAATTTTCCTACACATACATATATATTATGTGTTTGTTTTTTCTTTCGTTTTAAATGTAGGTTAACATAAAAGCCGTTATCACACGAGACCTGTTAATGGGCGGCCACAAAGATAGCTCAGCTATAAACTAAATCAGTTTAGTAGAAGGCGGCTACAAATGGAAATGCATTCGGATCCCAGGTCCTATAATTGACCTTGTGCTGGCTCTTTAAGCACCTAAGTTCACAATGGGAAAGCTTTAAAGCTTCAAGTTTTGTAGGCTGAAATAACAGATGAGAATACTAAGCAGGTTTGCTTTTGTAAGGTAGAAATACAGAGGCTAATACCCTAAATGCATATGAACGCAGCAATCTTCTAAACGCAGTACAATTATATATTTTTTCCATATATACCAAAGTTATTCATCAATTAGGCAAACCCCATACTGCCCAAGTATCTCGTAGCATATTCTTTTCAATGCAAGCTTATTTACAAGGCATGAATATTTTAAATTATTGATCCATTATCTATCACAATATTACTCTTTCGAAACGCTGGCTCGACTTAATTAAATGTGTATATTTTATTTATTTGTAACATGTTGAAATTAATACGGACTCGATATTTACTTATTTTAATAAAGTACTTAAGTCTTTTCAAAAATTGTTTGAGGATTTAAATATGCATAGTTCTTATTCCATATCAATCTGAAAAGAATGTATTGTCAATGCATTATTATATTAAATATATCATATTCGCTCACTTCCTGTCCCGAATATATGGTTGACGCCTTGCTGGCCCTTTGACTGGCTATTGAGCTGATCTTACGATTGTATTCGTCCTCGGTAGATAACATACAAACATCTATGAATTTGGCGAGGCTCGGAGACTTGAGCTGCTTGGCAATTGGCAGAGCCTCTTCTAAGGCCTCTTTCGTACTCTCTACCTTATGCTGCAAAGTGTTTGCCTTTATCATTTGAATAATGCCTAGGAACTTCCATATGAGGCTGTTACAGTTTTGACTCTCTAGATCCAACAAATTAATAACTGTTTACAGACATAATATTAATGAAGTATTCGTACCTTTTACCGCCTTGCGTGCATTGAAACAGCATTCATCGTAATGTAGTTGGGTCAGATGAATGCTGGCCATTTGATGAAGTAGATAGCATTTCTCTATCGAAAATTTAGAAAATCTCATTCGTTTCTCCAAGCGTGATAACATTTTTCTAAAAGTCAAATAAATTAATTTAATTTATAGTAATTTAATCCTTTTTGTTCACCCACCGGCATTTCCTGCCTTCGCTTTCCTCGTCGCCTTCTTGATAAGTCGATCGGTCGCCGAATACAAACGGCACAATATCTTTCACCTTATCGACAGGCAGTAAAAGCAATTGCAACATTGCTCTCGACGATATTCTAAAGTTCTTGGGCACGCGATACTGTTCACAAAGGGCCAAAGCTAAGTTATTATATACCTCATTATGGAACTCAAATTTCCAACACATGACACGATTTGTTTTCGTCACATAGTAATCGCCCATCACTTTCTCAACATAGGAGGAAAGCTCCTAAATGTATATTGTCAGAAATTAAATGATGTCATATGATATATGATATATGATATATTACATTTGGACCGACATATATTTACCTTGACGTCCTTGGCTTTACGCAGTCGTCGTATATGTTTGAGATCATGAATCATATTGCGATGCGTTTGATATTGTACTCGGAACAGATACGCCTCTCTACTCTTTTCCAACATCTTCTTGTCGGGGAACTTGAGGAAGCTCACATAATACTGAGGACTGCGGCATTGCAGCATTTTCTGCGAGAGTAAATAAATATGGGTTAAACATATTACAGCATATTAGATCTTAGACGTACGATGAACTGCCTTATAATATCATACTGCTTGAAGGCAAGTGTTCGCAAGAAGGATTTTGAACGCTTGCATTGATCTAGAAGCAAGCTCGGATTGTTTCGTAGATTCTTCATGAATAAAACGTCGTACCACGAATCGTTCAGATAGTTTTGATGGATTACATTGAATGCACGCGCTCTGCGCGACACTTCAAGCGGCGACAAAATCTCTTCCTATAGAAGCTGTATTAATTATCACTATATTCGTTTAGGTATACCGGCTTTACATACAATAGTCTCGGGTATACTGAGCACATCGCATTTATGCTGATCTCTCAATATCTTCCACATGGGGCGCGTGTCAACGAACTCTTTCGCCTTGTTGATCTCTCGCACACGTTGAATGAGTTTTTGATGTTTTAAAAAGAACAAGGACATGGATTTGCCCGTGACATCTTCAATAACATCGTTTACCTAAATTTCGATACGCATATATGGTATATCCGTAATATACATATAAGGACATGCACATCTTACCACCATGACTCGCGTTTGAAAGTGCTTGGCCTTGACGCCAATAAAACGTCGGATATTATCGTGCAGCTCACATGCACTGTTCTCGAACTGGTTGAGCTCGAACAACGCATCGCAAATTTGCAAATTGATGGGACAATTTGGACCACGCGCCCCCATGCCGATTTCTATGATCGAATCACATTCATTTGTCAATCAATTATGTGGAAACATCACATCCAACTTACTAGCAGCCAATCGAGCATCGGTCAAAGCCTGTTCGATTCGTGCGGCCTTTCGTTGCACCTGACTGCGTCGATAGAGCGTCACATAATCATAGTTGTTCATATCCAGTGCCTTCGTATAATAATATAAAGCGATGTTCTCTCGGCGTCTATTAAAGTAGTATGTGCCCCAATCTCTATAAATATCATGTTCGATTTCCTCGCTCCAATCAAATTTCAGCCATATAGGCACAGCGCCATCAAGCCCAGCTTGCGGGACATAGCCCACAATGGACGTCATGATTGTAAATACTTGTTAGCAATCGAATGTAATTGAAATTATGAAATTGAAAAATTACAAAACCGAACTATGTTTCAGGTTATTGTGTTAAACTGCTTCCATCTGTTAGTGTGTTGCTACTGAAGCTATTTGTGCAAAGTTAGCATTAAGTGATTTATATGAAAGCTCAATGAGTTCTAGATTGAAAATATCAATATTTAGTTTTCAGTTATTTTTGTTAAGGTTAACTGAAGCTGAACTAGAGTTTATGGTATTTTTTTGCATTTAGCTTTTTCCAATAGTTTCAAAAACCTTTTTCGGCTGATACATGGTTTTCTTGGAAGTTTTCTATAATGATATCTAGATATGTTGTCTGTTTTGATAAGACATATGTTTGCTACATAAAATTTTCGATATATAATATGTTTCATGTTAAAAAGCAGCGTCAGTTCGATACTTGCAGCAGAATTTATACTTAATTACTATAAACTTATAAATATTCAGATCGAACTTCATGTATGAAGCAATTTCTTGTTCATTGTCTTGGCTGCTTGGAACATTTGAAACTTTTTTTATTAAATTTTTTACTAACTTTATATTTTATATATATTTATTTAATTATATTTTATGTTCTTAGGTTTTCATTTTATGTTCTTAGGATTTCATTTCCTTTACTAATAAAAGTTCTTTAAGAACAAAATTACTTCCGTACTATATGATTCCTAGAGTCAGCTAGTTGATTCAACTGAAAAAATGTAAAGGAAACAAGCTATTGAAATTGTAAGTGTTTACGACTGGAACTTGGAAATAGTAGAAATATACCATTTACTGCAGCAATATCAGCGTTGATCCCACCTAATAGACCAATTATTATTATTGTACAAAATGTATTTAATTTATTTTAATTATTTTTATTTTATTTTTAAATATTTAAGTTTGTTTGCCAAAATTTTATTTAAAAAATTATTCTTGGATAGATGTTACGGGGCATCAAATTCATCTAAAAACGGCTTATTTATGGGACTTGCAAAGTTGAAGCCTTTTTGTTGTGGTTCTTTGACTAACTTTACAAAGCGAACTTGAATTATATATATATATATTTTTTTTTATTTGTTTTTTTTATATATTTTGTATATATATTATTTATTGCTAATTTTGTAAAAAGGTATCAAAGTATCCTTAGTAATAAAAGAAACACTTTTCCAGCATTTCCTGAACTACACGCCTCAGCTCAGCTCAGTGCTTGCCATGGACATTCTGCTGGCCCGTGCCATCGCTAGTGAGACACCCTTGCGACGGAATTCTTCGTCAGCCTGATTGTAGCATACTTCTATAAATTCCAGCAGTTTCGGTGACTTTAGCTTTTCGGCAACAGGTATTGCCTCGTCTGCAGCTTCCCTCGTCTTTTCTATTTTGTGCTGCAAGGCATTTGCTTTGATTATCAACAGTAGACATAAGAACCTCCAGAGTGCGCTTTGACAGTCGTGACTTTCTATACAATTGTAAAAAGTATTAATATATTTTTATATCATATAAAATACGTATTATATTGGTGTAAGCACCTTTTATAGCTTTGCGCGCAGTAAAACAGCATTCATCGTAATGCAATTGACTTAAATGAGTGCTGCTTATCTGATGGTATAAATAGCACTTCTCAATTGAATATGTGCTGAATCGAATGCGTTTCTCCAGGCGAGTAATTAGTTTTCTTTGGATTACAAATTCTTTCATTAATTCATGATACTTGCGGAGCAAGCATTGTAGTTCAATGTATTTACCTCGCATTTACCGCAGCGTGATCTATCACATCGCCTCCTTGATATGTTGACCGATCTCCAAATACAAATGGTTGGACTTCTTTAATTTTTTCATTTGGCAACATTAAAATCTGAAAAAGTGCATCATCCGATTTTATAAGATCTTTGGGCGCTTCGTACTGTTCGGCAAGTGCGATTGCCAAGCTATTGTAGACCTCATTGTAGAACTGGAATTTCCAGCACATGACACGATTTGTTTTCGTCACATAGTAATCGCCCATTATTTTCTCAACAAAGGCGGCAAGCTCCTAAATAGGTCGTCAAATTAAATCAAAGTGAAATATAATAAAAATAATGAATTAATAAAAATATAAATATATAAATAAATACAATCGACTAAATATATAAATAAATACAAAAGATAATTAACATCACTAATTAAAAATACCTTGACTTTCTTTTCCATTCTCAGCTTGCGAACTTTCCCTAAGTCGTGAATCATATGGCGATGTGTTTGGTATTGAATGCGAAAGAAATATGCATCCTTACTCTTTTCCATTAATTTCTTATTGGTAAACTTTAGGAAGTTCACATGGTAAAGTGGACTGCGGCTATAAATCATTTTCTAGCAAGATTTGTACTTATTAATTAATTAAAAATGTATACTTTATGCTTAATACTAACTATGAAACGTCGAATTATATTATATTGTTGGTTACACATTTTTTCCAGAAATTCTCTAGAGTTCTTGCATTGATTTAGCAGCAAATTAGGATTCTTACGCAAGTTTTTCATGAATAGAACGTCGAACCACGACTCATTCAAGTAGGTCTGATGTATGACATTAAAACCGCGACTTCTGCGCGCGATTTCCAACGGAGATAAAAAAATTTCCTTTTCGGAATATTTGAATATCAAGCAATGATCATGATCGTTGAGTACCCACCTCTTCCTCAGGTATGCTTAGTATATCACACTTCTCTTGGTCTCTTAATATCTTCCACATAGGACGATCATCGATAATTTCACTCTCTTTGATTAACGCGCTCACGTGTTGCACAAGTTTCCGATTTTTCAGATAGTATAAAGATAGGGCCTTTCCTGTAACTTCTCTAATGATATCATCGACCTATAGAAAAACACTTAACGGAATACTTAACCTTTTTATTGTATATTTAAATTTACCACAATCAGACGCTTATCAAAGTTCTTGGCTTTAGTACCCCTGAAATGGCTTAAATTTGTGTGTAATTTCAATTTAGACATTTCGAATTTGTTGAGCATAAGCTGACAATCGCATATTTGCAGATTGATCGGACAATTGGGTCCCACATCGCTCTCAGCCATTTCTATTCAATACACCAATTAGTTGACTTTGATTCTTTCAATTAATATCCAGACTTACCTTCAGCCCTAAGAGCATCAAGTAGTGAATCATTGATCTGGGCTGCTTTGCTCTTGGCTACACTACGTCTATAGAGCGTATCCCAATCTTCATTATCCAGTAGAAGTGCTTGAGTCAGATAGTAAAGTGCAAAGTTTTCGCGGCGCCGATTAGAGTAATAAGTGCCCCAATCTCTATAGATATCATGCTGCACTTTCGAACTCCAGTCCAAGTTCATCCATGCCGGAAGAGTTTCGCCTTCTCGCAAATTGGGCACAAATCCAACAATCGAAGTCATCGTTCAGGTATTACGGTATATCAAGCTATAAAAAATTATCCAATATAATTAAAGGCTCAAAGTGCAAGAAGGTCGAATCGTAGTTCTATATTCTATCATATCATTTCTATGGAAAGTTTGTAATTTATTACTTTAATAAAATTATAAGTTTTACCACTCGGTACATGCTAAGCTTAAGTTAATAGTAATTAAAATAGTTAGTTAATTATTTACTTACTCAACAAATAATTCACTTTCATTAATTTCCACTATAAATTTAAGAAATTTATAAAAATGTTAGAAAATTAAAAATAGGCTAAACAAAATAATAAAAAAGGAAAATTTAATAAACTGCTGTCTCTCAGCAACAAAATCAAGGGAATAAGAATAAGTTATTGAAATCAAAAAAAACTAAACAAAATGTAAAAACAATGCCTACTTATATTATTAAATAATATATAAACATAAAAAATATATTTAAATTGTTTTCCAGTTATGTGCAACGAAATATTGTAACTATTATAAATTCTTTAATATAAATTTCACTTATTAAATGTTAAATAGTTTTACCTTTTATTTGGTCAAAATCATCTGATAAATCACAAAAAGGCTTTGCTCTACATATATCAAAGATAAACACATTTTTTTTAATTTACTTATTATTGAAAAAGAAAAATTCAATTTTTAGGCTCAAATATCATATACGCCTTTGAGACTAATTCTTAAAACTATTTGATAAAATAATTCATTTTAATTACTGATTTATCAATATTTCTCAAGATTAAATCAAAATTTAAAACACTATTAAATATATATATATAGATATATTAAGCTATATACTAATAATACCTATTTACAAAACATATATTGATAGAATCTATTTCCATCTATATATATATTTATTTATATATTGATAAATATATATATATGTATGTTTTTCATTTTAAGAACGTATTGTTTGAGCAATACATATATTTACGTATCTCAATATATATCCATAATCTGACGTCAAAAAAAGAGTTTTGCGAAGAACAAATAGAAAAGTTCTTGGCTTGCTCAGTGCGATTCCGATCGCTTTACTAATTTAGCAAGAAAATAAAAACTTTTGAAATAAACGCGTTTTGATTAACGTTAATAATATAATTGCACCTCAATTCGTTCTACAAGCTGAGTGGACTGCGTGTTATGGGACAAGCGTGCAGGGTTTCCGTTTCCGTTTCAACTTTGAATTCTGTCACACTTCAAATAAGCACCTTGCCATGCAAGGCAACCAAACATATTATTACTATTACAGAAAAAAAGCAGCTAAAGAGAGTAATACTAAACCGCAACTCATGTGACAGAAGTGGCACAAACACACATGAGCCACCGTAGCCGTCGTGCCACCGATTGGCTTTATAATAATAATTGTGCATGCCCAGTGGCTCAGCCAAGTGTAAGAAATCACTTAAAACACACAGCCCGGCAAAGGTTTCAGTTAGGGATTATGTACACATAGCCTCGCAGCCCTCTTCTAATGGCAAAATTTAAGCCACAAGAGCGACCACAAAAGGCCAATGATAAGTGTTAAGAGTCGTAGGCGTAGGCAACTCAACGCGCACATAAATCTAATGTATAATAAATTTAAATAGCGAATTCATGCAAAATGGCAACTCGAGTGTGACCAGACCCCTCCTAGCCCCGCCCACTTTTTGGCTGTCTCACGCACACACACACACACACACAACCACACACATACATCTAAAGTCGAGGCCGACAATGACTACACTTTAGCGGCAAATTTGTGCGCATTGTCGCCGTATTATTTGCTATTATTTATGCCTTTTCCACTATTTACTTCCTATTTTTTTTGTTTCATTTATATTATATTGTTGTTGGTTTTGTTGTTGCTCACACGCCATTGTGTTCGTATGCAAAAGTGGACGCGAACCACTCCCTATACAGTGTCTAACCGCAGCTTGGTATGGCCAGTGGCGTAGACAGGAATTTGGCTGGAAAAGGGCGCAGCAGATGTACACATATGGAAATGGAAGATGGAAGATGGGAGCTGGAAGATGGAAGATGGAAGATGGGAGCTGGAAGATGGAAAATGGGAGCTGAAAGATGGTAGATGAAAGACAATATTCTTGACTGTTGAGCCTGATAAAGAATATTTCTATTTTTTGGACTCTTTCTAGAGAAACCAATATATTAAGTAAATGTGTAGTTGTAATATATATATATATATATGTTTTCCTTTACTTTAATTTCTCTTCATATGTTTGGGAAAGCCAATTTCTAAGTCTCACAATCCCCTTGCTGCGCACGCCACTGCCAACGTCCAGTGGCGTGCTAAGCATTTGCTCGCGTGGATTTTAAACATTTTCACACAACATTCTCATATTTAGACGGCACACATCAGCGACAGTCGAAAGCCAGTGCCCTGTTACCCCGAGTGCGCGCCCAGAAAGTTGGCGGTAATGTAAGCTCCATAAGCCAAATAAAGGACACACACTAATAGCATGCAGCACACGCGACCAAAGCGCCCCGAAACGTAAATCTGTGAAATGTAATTGTTGCCATGAAGAAAACGCCAGAGCCCAAGCCCCAGCTCGAACTCGAACTCGAACTCGAGCAAAGCAAACCCAACCCCACTGGCATACCCAAACCCAAAGCTAAGGGCATTTTAAGTAAGTTTTGCTGGCGCTCTGTGCCATATTCGCATTTTGATAATCGTTGGGCCTCCATCGCACTGCCTGCTCTGATATACAAATTGGCTTTTGCAATGACTTTATACATTTTACGAGCAACAGCCATTTGAGTGGGTTTTCGTATACACACACACACACATATATATATATATATATATATATATATATTTTTTTTTTTTTGTTGGGATTTTATCGGTTTGGTTCTCGTTCTTGTGCTGCTGGCTTTGAGTATGTGGCGCACTCTGATGCGATTATAAAGGCTAAATTGATGCAGATAAAATTAATTGAATTCAAAAAGCCAAATCCGCTGCCCTTTTTTTTGGTTTCTTCCACTTTTCCTACTTATTTCCTTGAAAGTTTTTTTTTCTATTTAGTTGGCGAGTTTAACAAGTGGGTCGCATTTGGGTATTTTTTTTTTGGTTTGCTTTTTCGATAGTTTGGCTAGTTAGTTGGTTAGGTCATGCGAGCAAAAGTCTTGAATGTGCACTCAATTGCTTTTAGATACGCATGGTGCATGCTTAAAGGAAGTTATCTATCAAAAAGAGGAAGCTAAGATCAACGAAAATTGGCAGTATAACAAATATAAGCGAAATATAACGTAATAGCTCGTATACATAGATAAATAAGGTATTTAAAATATTAAAGGAATATTGATACATCGCTGATAATAACCCATTGACTTCACCTGAAAGTTTACCTTCAAGTTTATCTGTCCAAGTTCGTGGGTAAATACCAAACTTTTGTGGAATTTCCGAACTTTGACATTTGAAAAAGCTTTGCCTTCATATAAATATATAATGAAGTTCAACCAATCGATAGGGTGTGTTGCAAGCAGCTCAACGAACATTTCACTATTTAAGTTTTAAGTTGTTTAAAGTGCAAGAAATGCCAGGACCACATAACCCGCCAGGACCTCATGGCCCACATGGCCCAGGAGCCCATCACCCAGGCGGACCGGGACATGCGCCTGAACATGGCCATCAAACGCATCCGCCGCATCATCAGCCAGCTGTGCCCCATCATCATGGACCGCCAGGACCCCCACATCACCCGCATTGAATTTGCAAAGCTGTAAAGCCAAAAACACAATTAAATTAAACAAATTATAAAAAAAACCTAATCAAATATATTTTTGCTTGACCAATAACTAAAAATAGTTTCAAACCGCGTTTATTTTTGGGTACTTTTTATATACAATTTGAAAAAAATAACGCTTCGAGTGTTTTTCCCAACACTTAGCCGTTTATGACAAACGATTCTTTTTAGAAATCGTTGCTAATAAACTTGCATTATAATGAACTAGCTGGTTCAATAAGCAAACAATAGACCTGGATGACATACCCACATTGATTAGATAACTCTTATCTGAACACCATAAAAAGACTAAGTTGGGAATAATATAAAGCTTGTGCACATACCCAAAGGAATTTCAGTTGAACAAAGTTACTGTCGTTGTGCACAATTTAAATTAATTAAAGACAAACTATTTGCAATGCATCATCACAATCCTGCACCACCGCACCATCATGGACCGCCGCCGCCGCACCACCATGGACCTCCGCCGCATCACCATGGACCTCCTCCACATCACCACGGGCCACCGCCGCACCACCATGGACCCCCACCACACCATCACTGTCCTCCAACTCATTATGTGCCACCGCCACATCATGGCTGCCCACCGCCCCATCATCATGGACCTCATCCACAACCTCGTTAAATTGCCACATCTACAATGTGATTTTTCTGGCACGATCTACACAGTATATTTGTGTCAAATATAATTTATTTATGCACAATTAAGTTTCACGTGTCTTTGCTATTTGCAATTGTTTTTCATCATTTTAAAAAATAAACAATAAAAAAATTATATTTTCAAAAATGATATTTTATATATTTTTTTAACTTTTATCTTTAAAAATATAACAATACTAAAAAAATATTTTTTTTACAAAATATATATTATTTATATTTATAGAAAATATATATTTAAATTAACAAACTGCATATACTCAACCAAAATAAAATATAAAAATATTTAAGTACTGGAAAAAAATTTGTATAAAATTATTTATTTTTATTGTAAATACATATTTGAATCAATCAATTGCATTTACTCAACAAAAAGTATTGCAAAATAAATAATATAATATATTTTCATTTCATCATACACACAATATTCTATTTATTAAAAAGATATATTGAATCTATTATACAAGGGTTTTTTTGAGCATAATAAAACTGTTAGTTCATAATTTTTTTATCAGTTTTTTATATCTGAGGGTTTTCCAAATTTTTTTTAACTGCGTATGACTAAATTTTGCTTTTATTTATATGCTTGATTGCTCTTAGTCATGTCTGTAGTTCACACAAATATTTGATATTTGTATTGATTAGCAGAATAGTATACTTAAGATTAGATAATGTTTATCAGGGTGTATATATTGGGTATGAAATCAGAATATGATATCTGTGGAGTTTAGTTAGCGTCTGCAGCTTATGTGATTCGCACGTAAAGTCTACGGTTAGAACGTTGAAACGCAATGCCACCGCCACATGGAGGACCTGGACATGGCCATGGCGGGCCACACCATGGAGGACATGGACATGGACCGCCCCATCACGGACATGGAC